GCCCCTCGTCCCCCAGCTCCCCTCTCCCGAGCACAGAACCAAAACCTTCAGTTGATATCTGCCCTTGGGGTTGGGGGGGGTGCCGATTGCATGGTTCGCCTAAGGCGCCAGTTGCTGGCAGCTAGTCTAGGGCCACCCCTGTTTGGGCATCTTCCATCTAAGTACTAACCAGGTTCATCCTGTTTCTGGTGAGATAACATAGGATCACAGAAAGTTTGTAGGTATAGATAAAACTCCTCATGCTTTTCATTAGATTTAAAGGGGTCATAATCACCTGTTACATGTATGTAGTTCCCATTAACTTTATTAGGAGTTGTGCCTGTGCACAGAGGGGAGAATAACTTATATTCTACTCTGTACTGCTTAATATCGTCTACACATAAGAACGGCCGTACTGTGTCAGACCGAAGGTCCATCTAGCCCAGTATCCTGTAAGCTGACAGTGACCAATACCAGATGCCCCAGAGGGAGGGATTACAACAAATAATCCTCATGTGATCCCTCCCGTCTCCCACTTCCAGAGAAACCGAGGCCAGGGACACCATTCCTACCTATCCTGGCTAATAGCCATTGATGAACCTAACCTCCATGAATCAATCTAGCTTTTTTTTGAACCCTGTTAAAGTTCTAGCCTTCACCGCATCCTCTGGCAAGGAATTCCACAGGTTGACTGTGCGTTGAGTGAAGAAAATATTCCTTTTGTTTGTTTTAAATCTGCTGCCTATTAATTTCATTTGGTGACCCCTAGTTCTTATATGTGGGAATAAGTAAATAACTTTTCCTTATTCAGTTTTTCCACACCAGTCATGATTTTATAGACCTCTATCATATCCCCCCTTAATCTCCTCTTTTCTAAGTTGAAAAGTCCAAGTCTTTTTAATCTCTCTTCATATGGGACTCGTTCCAAACCCCTAATAGTTTTTGTTGCCCTTTTCTGAACCTTTTTCAATGCCAGAAAAATGTGTTTTCCCTTTTCAGTTAAAATGCATTCTGCCCCAGATGTTTTGAAAATTCTACATATATCATCATCATTAACATCATATATTGCACTATATAAAGCCAACAACATATATAAGCGAGTACTCCTAAAAACATTTTCCAGTTAGGCAAGGTATTAGCAGCATGAACTGGTATTCCCTATGTTTAGAATTAAAGTACTGCTAAAATAAACCTTAAAAGAAAGTTAAGTGTATCCATAGCAGATCACAGTTGATGGCAATCAAAATATCTGGAATGGATGTAATGTGATAGGAGTTACCTCTTTGGAAGCTACCACCTTCAGGTAACTTAGCAATACAATAAAGCAGGGGTGGGGAGTCTTTTTCCCATCAGGGGCCCCGATCCTCCTGAAATATCAGCTGCAGGCCATAGGACATGGAAACTTGGACCAAAAAATGAGGAGTTCAGGGTAGTGGAGGTGACTCCAGGCTAGGGCAGAGGTTTGGGATGCGGGAGGGGGTGAGGACTCTTACTGGGAGTGTGGGCTCTTGGGGTGGGGCTGAGGAATTTGAGATGCAGGAGGGGGCTCTAGGCAGGAAATTGGAAGGGAATCAACCTGGGCCAGGGGGTTCAGGGTAGGAGTGCAGGGAGTAGGCTCTGGAAGGAATGTTGGGTGCCAGAAGGGGCTCAGGGTGCAGGAGGAGGAGGTGTAGGGTACTTACATCAGGTAGCCCCATTCAGTGGTACAGGGGGGCTAAGGCAAGCATTCTGCCTACCGTGGCCCCATGCCACTGCTGATCCTAGAAGTGGCTGTGACCAGCACAGCCCTGTAATTCCTGGGGGGTAGGGAAGGGACAGGTGGCTCTATGCACTGCCCTTTCTGGCAAGCACCATCCCTGCAGTTCTCATTGTTCATGGTTTCCAGCCAATGGGAGCTACAGGGGTAGTGTTTGTAGGTAGTGCTTCTCTGATTGCTGCAAGCCAGTGGTAGTGCTCACAGTTCCAGCCTCGCATGGGGAGGAAACCGAGATTCAGGGCTTCTGGGTAATGACACAGAAATTTGCCACAGGCCAGATTATATTAAGCAGGGGCCAGATCTAGTCCACGGGCCAGAGGTTTGCCACCCTTGCATTAAAGTGCTGCTTTTAAAAAAATGGCTATAAAAGTGGCATACTTGACTTAACAGCACTCTCCTTGGAAGCATTCGGAGTAATAGTGTTTACTTTTGGGGGTTTGGAGAAGGGAAGCTTTCTGAGTGACTGACATGTTGACTACAATCCTGGTGGTTACAGCTTAATTTCTCACTGAAAGGCCACCTCTAGTAAAACTAGCTGTAAAACGAGTACCTGGTCCATCAGGTTAGGGCAATTAAAGGTAGTGAGCTGACATGCCTTACCTTGTGACTGCTGCTAGCTCTGAGAGACAGCTGAAGTTTATTCTGGCTCACGTAAGGGCAACAGAATTGTGTGTGGCCCCTGACTCATTTTTCCACGGGTCAGTGGCTCCAACCAAACAAAGGTTCCCACCCCTGCTGTATGAGATGAAATAACTCTATCGGTCTTTCACTCTCTCCAAGCTACTTTCTTCTACCCCCACTTTCCTCTTTTTCTCTTCTTTCAATTTCTCTCTCTTTC